TTATGTTCTAAAAGAGTTAAGCATTTCATTTGACTTTCAGAAGGCTTTATAAGTATGAGATGTTTTATGTTAACGCATTTGACACGTTTATGACGTTCAGCGTTCTGATTAGCCCGCTCCAATTGACCAACCAATCAGAGATCTACACGCAGTTAACGCTTCGACGTTAACGTAAAAAAGTTTTCACTTCCGAAAATTTATTAAACTCTTGATACCTAAAATCTTAAAAAAAGAATGATTACAGCTACTCAAATTCAATGATTTTATTCATTTTACTTTATTTCTCAGAATAGGCTAAGTTGAACACTTGAAGTTTGGATTATACTAAATCTGTACCATTGTGCTGAAAGCCGTCTTCGATTATATTGTTCCTAGAATCGATATCTTCTAGAGAATAGAAGTACGATCATAAATTCCGGACGACTTAATAGTGCTCGAGATTTTCAAGTACATTCCTTACGTTCATAGTTCCCTGGTATTATGGTACCTATCCTAGTCTTTTTTAAGATTGAGCTTAGATATTCCTGTTTCTATGTAGGTATTGGTTTTTGATCTAATTTAAGCTTATGGCTTACTATTTGGTATAATTTGGTATTCAGACATCAATTCATTACGCTATTTGTTTTATGGAATAGGGGCAAATGAGCGGACAGTTCACCTGATGGTAAACGATTAGCAGCGCGCATGGACGGCTGCAATACCAGAGGAGTTACAGATACGTTGCCAGCCTTTTGAAAAAGAATATGAATTTTTGAAAAAAAGAGAATTCCCAATCTACTTTCAACCTCATTCCCTTTTATTGAAAGGCTATTCCAGAAACTTCATGGCAGGGTATATCGTTGTGCCTGTAATTTATCCAACAAAAATAATTATTCAACGTTCACTTTAAGCTACCACGTTCGTAGCTTCGAGCTAACAAAAACAGATTTAATCATGTCTAACAATATTGGTATTAATACTGGTAACACGAGGATTATGGATGACAGGTAACGTGAGGAGACTTCTTCGCAATATGATTGATGAGGTCTGTCAACGCTAAATACTTTGTGGATGGTACGGTTTTCTCTTCTCTTTTAGCGACTAGATTTATACAAGCTTCATGTAGATAGTAATTTGGTTTATAGGTTTATTTATACACGTAACACTAGGTACTAGAATTTTTGCCGAAGGTTCTATTAGCATCTATGTTACTAACTTCTTTGTAATAGGGTGAGCTTTAACCTAAACATTAAGAAAATTTGAAATTAGAAACTTTATACGTCTGACGAAAATCTACTTAGAATTGATTCTGGGAATGAAAGAACGGTTGCAGTATATATTATATCGCTCAGATTCATAGTCATTGCGTTATACTTATAGTATAACAAATATTCTGTAGGTACACCTTTACCTACTTTGCTGAGTAACTTATGCATACAATGGAAATGAAAAGTTCGTCATTTTGTATAGATTCAACTCGAATGAAACAAAAACGTGCTGGTAAAAAAAGCGGAACTTTTAAAACATCGTTTTTTTTACTTACGGTGTTTAAAAGTTCCGGTTTTTACCAGTCCTATGATTCATGAAATTGCAAAAACCGTTATTCTATTTCCAAATGTTTTCGGATAAAAGTATTTAAAAAATATAAATCAAACATGGCGCTTTTATTCGACCGCCATTACGAAAGCTCAAATAATGGAATGAACAAAAACCCTTTGTAACATCGTTACCCGCGGCGTCGCCAAAAATCCAAATGTACTCGAGCATTTGATACACAGGCAATTAAAATTGATTTACATACATCGTGTTCGTATTTGAAGCGGTCCAGATGGACGGGGCTTTAATCCCATGATTCGAGCAAGAGGCGAACATTGGTTTGATTAAAATAAACGTTGTATGTAATCCGAGGTAAACCGTTTACGCGAGAGACGGGACCGGAAATCGAAAGCGGCCATATTGGATGCGGAAATGTGCGACTGGCGCCCATCTCCAGCCAGCGACCGACGATGATTCGATTTGTGGCACTTTCGGTGCACGGGAATAAGGATTTCTTGGAATTATTTAATCAGTTTACGTATTCGACGTGGCTTTACTGCGGATTGTTCCATTTGTCCTCTATTTCCTGTTGTTATTGTTTTGTGATTTGTTATTCTTGCTGCATTTTTATGAGGGGGCGAAACAAAGACTTTGTTGCATTGCAGAATTAAGCAATTTCACACGACTTTCGTGTAACCGTTACTCAAGTTAATCCACTGAATAAAATAGATCATGCTCTACAATGAATAATAGAAACGTAGATGACTAAATTTAATTAGCACATATAGCAATATTTAAGAAACAACACAAGACATGCCGCGTATTGATAAATAACTGTAAAATTTGCACCAAATAAATATTTCTCACATGTTTCCACAAAATTAATTCAATTTACTTCCAAATTCAATATATTCACACCCAAACTTCAAAACTTCACAATAGGAACTGAAGAAATTGAGATTCTGAATAAGTTCCACGGAACTTCATAAACTATATGAAGTTGTTCGTATTCACTCACGGTAGGTATTGCATTCTCAGCACGTTTGGTAGCGCAGCCATTTGTGAATATAATGTATGAATATTGCATAATGTAATTATTTATAACACTATTCAATCTGACATTATTTTCTGTTTTAGATTTAGTTGTACTTTTTTCATATACCTACTGAACAATGTTACATTTTGTGCATACGTACATATTATGTAGGTACTTATATGCTTGTAGGTATGTACTAGTGGCATGTTATGTAGTTAATAATTGGGTTGGCTTTTATTCGCCAGGAGTGTATTCATTTGCGTTGTATGAAAATTTTGATTTTGGTATTAAATGTTTCTGATTTCTGACTGCCTCATTGACCGAGTGGTCGCAAGTGTGACTGCCAGGCAAGGGATCTCAGGTTTGGGTTTTTCAAAAAATCTGAGTAGTAGCACGGAGTCTAGAAATATGCTCGGTACATGGCAATAGGCTCACCCCCTACTACATGGGACTCATAACATAAAATAGTGAAAAGTGGGTGTTACATTGTACAGTGGCATTAAGTGCCGTAATGTGCCCCTTCGGGGATAAAAGGCGTGGAGTTACGTTATGTTATTAAATGCTTCACACATAACATCTGTTACTTGTGAGAACGACAAATGAGATTAGATGAGAAAATTTACACACTTAAAGTTAGAAGTAGACAGGCGTCCCGACTGAAACTTTACGTCTGGATTTTTATCAAACTTACCTATCGAAAGTTAGGAAATAAAAATGTCTGCAACACCAATCAGATCTAGGAACCAATCCATTCTCTAGAACAGCTTTAGCAATTTCGAAATTTCATAAAAAAAGTTTTTACAAAATGTCGCCAGACGAAGGCGGAAAACTGCACTGGAGAGTTCACTGAACTCACGTATCTCGACCAGAGACAACCGAAGGTCTCTGAAATGTTTTCCCGCGTAATAACTCACTTAGGGAAGAATCCGCCCGTACCTACTCTTGATAACTCCTTATAAAAGTTATCCTTCTAAATTTCGTAGTCAGCATGATTCCTTGTGACGTAGGATTGGAGGGGCTATCAATTTTTGCCTTGTTTCCCTGTGCCTATATTTGAGTGTACATAAAGCGCCGACAAGATGTAATGGTGATGAATTTCGTGGATTATATCTCCATTTTCGCTGACGTAAGCACCGTCGCCGCACAGAATGGAGATGCTCAAATGTATATACCCCCATTAGGTAATTTTGCATAATCCAGAGGGAGATATCCTGATTACGTACTTGATTTTACGTAGATTTAAGTACGTAACTTTTGATTGATGAATACATTTTTGTTTCTTCTACCAAAATAATGCCTTCCAATAAAATCTTAGTTTTAAACGTGCTTAAGATCTGAGTACACGTGCGAGAATTTACGCCCACGTTTTCATGCTTCAATTTCTATTAACAGTGAACTTTGAAAGTTAGTTTTTAATTAAAGATAGAAGTTTCTTTAATTAAAACTGGGTGCTTAACAAAGAAGATATAGTTTGGAATGTTTTCCACATAGTTGGCATTGTTCAGTGACTCTGCGTAACATAAGTTTTTCTATTCATTAGTCTTTGTCTTGTAGGTAGAGAGCGGTTTTATGGTAGCGAGAAGTTTCTTTAGAAGTTTCTAAAGTTAAGCATTCCTTTTTTCTTCTGGTTTAGCTTAGCGTTAGCTATGATAATTTTACGAAAGCACTTTTCACTTTTCCTGATCATTTAAAATATGACCAGATTTTCCTTAAATTAAATAACCTATATGGTCGCAGGGCTAGGCTCTGTTAGATTACCCGAACCTTGAAATCTACCAGGTCTAAATGTGATAATTGGCTCATGGAGTAAATGGAAGACACAATTTACTCATTTAGTGAACAGAGTCAACGTTTATCAAGATAATATTGCACTTCGCACTGTAAAGTGGTGAAGCGACCAGTTCCCGACGGGAAACACACCTGGTGCTCATTACTAATTAAACTGACTCGTGGGTGTTGTTGATGCAGTCTCGTGCACATATTGCGTTGAATCTTATTGACAAACTAAGTATATGAGAAGCAGTCGAGTACTAAGGATATGAAAAGCAAAAGCAACCCTTTCTTGATAGATCTGGATGGTGCCAGAAGTCCAAGGGTACTTGGAGCCTATGATCAAAAATAGACATCAAAGTTATAATTTCTTGATTGATCTTGATGACGCAGGAAACTATGGCTAGCTAAAGGTTTAGGGGTGAGAGTAGACATCTTTTGCGCGTTATATTTAAGGAAGGCGTGTGCCTTCAAGTGAAAGTTCTTTTCCAACCGAACGGCTGTGCAAAACCGTGTTTCCAATAGATTGATGCGCCTAAAATTCTATTGAAGTTGTTCTAAACAAACTGTGTTTATATTATGTAGTTTGTAACCTTTTTACCCTAATCCTTATCCTTCCTTAATGGAACAGTGACATTTTTTTCTTTAAATAATGGTGACCTTTTTTATTCTGTTGCAGTTGCTACTCTATTCCGGCGAACAACATGTCGGGTGGATCTCACGTCTCCCGCGCCACGTTTGGCGGCGCAGACTCTGAGATCTCTGGTGGTAGTGCCCCGCCCTTACCGAGTCCAGCGTCTGCGGGGGCTGCGCTGGTGTCTCCAGAAACACTGAGCCGCCACAGCAGCCCTCCACCGCTACCACCACACCCTTCGCATCAACAACCAGCACCGTCTTGTTCTTCCCATAGAGTGCACCTGGAGTCCCCTTTGAGGTAACTATATTATCAAGTATAGTTTACACTTTATTATTTTGCCATAAAGTAGAAAATCTTTTGTAACAAGTTTAGGGTGACGTGGTGTATTGCTTATTCTATTATGATTACGTGAATCTACATCGTTACAAAATAATAGGTAAGTTTTCTACTATAAGCAGTTTATACTTATTCCAACATACATTTAATTTCCTAGCCAGGAAAATTAATAATGCTAGTTCCTTCGCAACGCAGTTGCTCTAATAGGTATGTTATTAAATTAATTAATTCTGCGCTGAATAATTTCATAAGCGCTCCATGTAACATGACTTTATATACCTCAGTAAAGCAAAGAACATTACTGCATTTCTTTTAAATAAAATTTGTGGAAACGGAACATATTTACCTGCTTCGTGGTAAATTTCTTTTGATCTATTTCCTTTTCTTTCCAGGAAAACATTTAAGCGCGTTCGTAAATAGGATATCCTTTCCTCGACATGTGTTCGTCAGCGACAAAATGTATCTGTTTTAACTAGTTCCTAAACACTTTTGATAGCCATCGCCAGTTTGCGTCAAAATTATTCCCGATATTCTATTGGATATAAACGTTAACGTAAAAGTAAGGGTTACGCTTACAAAACTTAATTAAGAACATTCATCTCGAGAATTGTTGATGGCAACTTGTTTCGAACTACTAACAACTTGTTTGGACTGACGTTGTAATAGTTAAGAAGATAGTTTGTGCTGTCTCCGTTAATAATTAAGACGGCGTCCGTTGTTTCTGATACAATTAATGTTTCATAGAATATTAATTCAGGGTTAATAGCGGTATATATCTAATTAATAGGAGTTATTTTCTATTTAGACTAACATTTTGCGTAGATCATGGTTTTTCTACAATCAGCTGACCGTAACTTAGTAAGTACCTGTAAGACAAAACTCTAAGCAAATAAACATTAAAAATAAGTTTCACGCCTCATTAATTCGGAAAAAGAAGCTTATTCTTTCATAAAATTAAATAACGAAGTCTCAAAGAAAATGCAACCTAAAAATAACACAAAAAGGTACACAATTGCAAAATCCGTACGCGTTCTCAATGATAATACAGAAGCGATCGTATTACAAAGAGAAAAATTTCTATGCACACACTGCACGTAACGAACATTGAATATGGCCGCGGGGTTTTAAATACCGTTCCATTCTATACTGGCCACAAATAAAAATAACCAAACATTCGAATTTTAAATTACGATTAATGTTTTAATCTATACAGATACGCGGGAAACAATATTTTTTAATTTGTTTTTTTTTATTTGGATAATGATAGTGTGTAAGATATGACTGTCTTGGTATGATAAGTTTTTAAATTTACTTGAAATTAATATATTGCAAGTGAATAGTCAATAGTGAATAAAGTAACATGCACTGTACCTAAAGCAATATAATTAAGTTAATTTTGCAAAGAACCTTTTTTCACAAAGCCGTTTGAAGTGCGGCTAATCTTACCGTAAACAAACAATCTCAAAAAACGAGCACCAATAAATATACTTGAAAACATTTAATTAAAAAGGTATTATATCACACAAAACAGAATTGTAACAAAAATATCTCCACTCGAAAAAAATAAATAATTATCTTCACAGAGGAATTGGTATCACCAAGGTGATTTGAGGAAAATTGGTGAAAATTTCTCATTCAATTAACTAAAGGACGAAAATAGGGATGGGAATGGCTTTCTATTGGTCAGAGTAACCATTATTTGGTTAGTCGGGTTTGTTTGACTAGTCACTGCATGCATTATTTGAAGAGAGGTCTTTCGTTCTACCAATGAGGGTTGGCATACTTCCGCGGGCACTCTCATTTTGGAGTTCTTTTGGTGATGTAATTGGATCTCTATGCTGCTTTGTAACTGTTTCGCTTTAGAACACCATTACTGTAAAGAAATAAATACTAGACTGTTGGTTTTACTACTTAGTTATTATTACTTTGGTCTAGAATAACCGTTAAGTTTATAATTCTGTGCCGATACTTGAGAGTTTAAGGGAACATTGATAGTGAAGCGAATGTATCTATTAACATACTTACTATCCAACTTCATTAGATTATGAACTTAAAGTGAGAATTTTAATCGTCGTAATATTAAGAATAGGGTAGTTGCCAGGGTAAGAAAAATAAAAATCGAATTAGTCCGTTAGTTAGATAATTAAAAAATATAAGACACGTATTGTTTATTTAATACTTTAATAAAATGTCGTTAAGTTTAGGACTGGGAGGTCATGTCATAGACATTACAAATTGATATAACGTCGAAAGTATTTACTTTTGTGAGAAAAGGAAAACTACTTACGTGTCTAATGTTTTAAACTAATTCACTAGACGGACAAAATTAAAATGTAGGTAATCACTCTATTATGTAGGTGCTATTAATACACCATCTCAAACTTAGTTCACTATCTCATGCTTTATGAATAACTTTAATTATAAAACTCATTAGTTTAAACAAATACACGAGAAAATAGTAAACAAACAAGTATTGATACACTTTGACGGTTTCCTCGTAAACGTTCGAATGTAGTACGGGCGTCGTATCGATCGGGTACCAATGAATTTTAATAATGAAGTAACAGTTACCAGCTTGTCGTAATTTAATAAACTATTTGTTTGTACTGTTATAGCAACTAGAAGTACGTTTTCTAGAACAATGTTTAATACGTTCTGTGAATGTGAACTTTATAGTGAACATTAACGTAGACTGCCTCGTTGGCCGAGTGGGACTGCCGGGTAAGGGGTCTCGGGTTCGATTCCCGGGTCGGGCAAAGTATTACTGAGTTTTAAAAAATTCTGAGTAGTAGCATAGAGTCTGGAACTGTGCCCGGTATATGGCAATAGGCTCACCCCCCTATTACATGGGACTCATTACATAAATAGTGAAAAGTGGGTGTTACATTGTATAGTGGTATAATGTGCACCTCTGCCTACCCCTTCAAGGATAAAAGGCGTGATGTTATGTTATGTTAACGTAGAACGGATTAATAACTTTTAGATTCAATTCAGGCTGTCACTTCACAACTGCACATATACTTCTAGGATTTACTTAAGAACGATAAACTAAGGAATCTTTTGTGCAAAAAATGATGTCCCATCCACTTGGTTGGTGCGTTTGCAAATACATAAACTTGACAAAAAATAAATAATTGGGTACATGTCAACTACTTTCAATAGTTTTTCCAACTGTAAAACGACAGTTTTCTATGCATTGTGTACGAGATTGTGTATTGTGACGTCGCGTTTTTTAACGTCAAACAACATACTTATGTATTAAAAGTTTGCTGGAAAAAAACTAAAATTAAGTTGGTCATAAAATCAATTAATGAAAGTGTGATAACTTTTTGATATTTTATCGTATTGAACGGTCGAAATCATTTATTTTTGGTTTAGGAAACTACATAATTGTACAAATACTTTTAGGATATTTACTTAAGAACGATAAACTAAGGAATCTTTTGTGAAAATATATTATATGGTAATTGGTATGTACATGTCTATAAAGATTTATAAAATATTGTATTAATATATTTATTCTATAGGTGTGTAGTATACATATTACATAACTTTATTTTTCAATTGTGTTCTGGCTTTGCATCAACCACTTCATTTCTCTGCACTTCCCTATGGTTGACTGTAAGAGAATGCCTTAAGGCATTAAGTCCGCCATTCACTGTATTTTGTGAAGAAGATAATAATAATAAATAAATAAAAATATTTTGTCCCATCAGTGTCGTTGATGCGTTTGCAAATACATAAACTTGACAAGAAATTATCTAATTTAATTTTCAAGTCGCTAAAACGGAGTTTTTTAAAAGACCATTCATCTATAATATGGGTAAAATCAATTCCGACACTGGAGAAGTTTTAAATATAGGTAGTACCTACCTACCTAATGTCGGAATACTGAAACGCTACTCAATTTTAAATCGTGATTAAGTGTAGTTCTATCTCTACAAATTCTTTGTAAAATGACAGAGATGGCACGATATTTGAGCACGACTTCCAATTCCAATTCTAATTTCTTTTTCTACCCACACGCAGGCACTTTAGTGACGCTCTATTAAACAAGAAACCGTAAACAAATATACTCGTAATCAGTAATATCAAAAGAATGTTCCAGAATAACTTTAGTAGCAATGTGCACACGGTTGCACATCAAGTTATACATGACCTATTTATCATGGTCTCGCATTGTATGACGTTTCATTCCATTTGAAGGTCAGTTTATACTGGTTTTCATGGCTTGACGTGAAACCGTGTGTACTAAGTAATCCGACGATTCTGTCAGAGATTTACTGGCTTGTAGTATTTCCCTGTCGGATTTAGGGAGTAAGCTTCCTATAGTTAATTGTAGATATAGTTTCTTAACATGTCCTCTTTAGACTTGACGGTGGCCCCCTAAGTATTATTAGTTGGGTAGTTCTGTTTATAAGTTTTTGCTTCTGTGAGTTAGTATTTTCTATTTCGTGAAAAGTGTTATTTTCTTAGATATATTTCGTTGGTGTTAGTTGGTTATTAATTAAGTGATATGTAGGTTTTGTAAAACTACATTAAAATCTAGTTTCTAGTCTACTCGTCAACTAGGTTGTAAGTTTCTTCAAGATACATTGGTTTGACTTGACAAAACAGAACTAGAAAAATACACACACACAATTCTATTTAAAACTTCACGAAATACCGAACAAGCAATTAATTGACAAATTACAATCAGTTTTTTTATTATATAAAAATAACCATGTCAACGTATTTTGAAAAGTAATAACCTTATTACATAGTCTATTTTCCTTTGTCCAGATTATCGAGTCCTCCATCGATGTCCCTGGGTGGTTCGCTGTCTCTCCAGCCAGTGCTGTACGGGCCGGGTGGACCATCGCACGCACCACTGCCCCCGTCCAGACGCCTGTCCCGACCATCTGCAGCTATACAACATATGCATGTGATTAGCGCGTAAGTATTACACTAGCAAAAATAGTTTCTTTTTTAAATTACACTAAGATTTTCTCCTATGTCGTGGGTGCGTTTACAAACATACAATTTCACATACACATGACATCAAGACCCGAAACAACAATTTGTGGATAACACAAAGAGTTGTTCCGTGCGGAAATCGAGACTGAGTATCTGGTTGGTCTGAAGAGCCTGGGCATCTGGCTTCCGCGAGACGTTGCGCGGCAGCCAGTTGTCCAGCCACTGCATCAACCGTGCAGTCAATGTGAGAATGTTTTGTGTTAGAGTTTGATAGGCAACATGACATGTAAAAACTTGTCTATCTTTATGTAACGTATGTCGTGGTAGTCTAGAGATATAAGACGCTCACTTCTCATGCATGAGGATGAGGATGCGGGTTCGAACCCTACCAACGGCTAGTACCATTGTGCCTTTTTCCGAGTTAATATGTACTTTCTAAAATTATTTATACACGACTGACAAACGGTGAAGGAATAAACGTGAGGAAATTTAGGCTTATAATTTCTAATTATAAGTTTGAAATTGCCTACCCGTATTGAGCAAGCGTGGCGACTATTAATATTTTTTATTTTAACACTTTATGTACAAATGTGTATACAATGGCGGGCTTAATGCCGGATGGCATTCTCTACCAGCCAACAAAGATGATACAGAGAAGTGTTACAGTAGGTTATAAACGAAGTTTGCATCTATTGAAAAAAAAAACGAGGGTGATAGATTATAGCTCAAACCATCTGCGTATGAGAAGAGGCTTTACTCAGCAGTGGGCATTTATAGGCTGTTAATGTATGTGTATGAAGTAAAAGCTCCAAGTGAAACAAGACGCCGCCTCACTCAAGGTGGGAGAAGTAATTGCATGATTTTCCCCCTCAAAAAACAATTCTGCAAGTCCTACGATCATCCAGTATACTTGGATATACGGTATACCTATGTTGTTTCCACAATGTAAATAAAATAATTCATATTAGTAAGAAGGCCAAATCAACAATTTTTGTTTTGACGTCATATCAACCAATCTTTTTTGAAAGTTAAAGTTACATCATTCGTACTGATCTATAAAAGATTATTAAAGTTTTAAGAAAACTTATACGTAAAACGGTTATTAGTTAGAACATTCTAGTGGATAAATTAAACATATAAATATATTTAAATCGCCTAGAGTCTAGAGATACTAGCGGCTTCCAGCCTGTCTACCGCGGCCTGCGGGCAGTCATTCCACAAAGTTCATTTGTCAAGTCTGACTAAAACAAGAACAACTTAAACTTACATTTCCTGCAATAAATCAGTCGTGTTCGCGGTGACAGATGTGCATTCATTAAATGGTATGTATATTAAATTATATTGGAGATAATCATTACAATTTATACGATTATTGACTCGTTCTTCTCTATAGAAATATTCTAGCTACTTCCGCGCGGTTTCACACGCTCTGCTCAGCTCCTATTTGTCGTAGCGTGATGTTGTATATATATAGCCTTCCTCGATAATTGCACTATCCAACACAAAAATAGTTATTCAAATCATACTTGTAGTTACGGAGATTAGAGCGTCCAAACAAACTACTAACTCTTCCGCTTTATATAATAAGTATAAGATGTATTTTGCAATTAGTATAATATAGTTTCACCTAAGGATCTGTCCTTATAGTATTGGTATGTGTATACACACTTTTTACTCTAAAATGAATGAACACTATAATTAGAGTAATTATAGTGTGCTTGAAAAAAATAGCCCTAATCTTCTTATCCAGTTTACCATTCGCACGAGTGATTTTGGCTAGGTTTTTCATAAGAAAAACTGCAGTTGTATTGTAGTGTCTACTTTATAATATAATATCATAGAAAAAACAGATCATAACTTTAATAGAAACTTTTAAGCCACGTTCATATTATTATATAATTTGCATAATAATTATATTGCTCGTACGTCGAAACGAAAGAGGAATTCAATAATGTAAAGTCCGTCCAACTATCGCGGAAAGCGAGGCTGAGGAAATAATATTAAGGCGCAATTTGCGAAGTTCATTTTAGATGGGAATTTCTCACTAAATTTATGTGTGAGAGCCACACATAAATGTAAAGACATACATATTATGAAGAGTAATGATCTGATTGTTTGAAGAAGCATATGACTATTCATATGCTTCTCAGATCCTATGATCGAGGCACCGAAAGTGCTACCATTTAAAAAAAATATTTATTTATTTATTTATTTATTTATTTATGGATTGGAAAACCAACAGCTACACATAGCAAACAAACAGATAACATAATAACACCAGAAAGCCAATTACAGGTTTTCACGAATAGACTTCACATTATTCAATAAAAAAAAACACTCACAGTCCAAACAAATACATCGTTTACGGAAAGAAAATAAAAAAAAAACAACAAGAGCCTATATATACCAACAATAAAAAACATAAAAAAATAAACACACACCAACCATACTACCAACAATAACAAATTAATATTAAACCAAGTTACCCACTTAATTTTATATGAAATTAAAAAACTGTAGGGTGAGCATCCTTCGCACCGTAGAAGTCCGCGTTACAAACGGATCTATTGGATACTCCTTACACAGGTTGTTTAAGTCTCTGCTTGCACGCATAATAAAGGAATTCTGCCTATACCTCGTTGAGGAATTCCGAATTAAAAGATATTGATAAGTATATTTTCCAAAGAATAACATCCTATGTTTCTCCAAATATTAATACTGCATTAGTCTTTTAAAAAATTCCCTTTATTTTCATAATCCTTCCAACAAATTGTGAGTACTGTCATTTTAATGTAGTTCAATCATATTCGTCACTGATTTTGTCAATTGTATTTTTTCATTCGAATTGAAACATAAGAAATATTTCCCGTAGAAGATTTTCGTCTCAGTAGAAAGAGAATAAGTACGCTATATTGCTATCCTTGTTATTTTGAGCATGGCGTCACTGACGTGTGTCATTTGTTTTTTTCTTGTAGTTCCTTTATTTGATTAAAGGAGGACACAATATATTGCTGTCCTTGTCTTTTTGAGCGTGACGTCATTGATGTGTCATTTGTTTTCTGTTTTCATCTGTATTGGGAAAAGAGACGAATTAGGAATTGGGGATCAATAAAACCTGAACAGTTAAAATATTAAGACAATAATTTCTGCATTTATTTAATAACGTATTTCATTCGACATGTAGTGGTTAATGGAAAATTCGTAGTCCACAATTCCACAAACGTTATATTCATTCTTTAAAAGGATTTCCAACTTTTCCCCTTAAAATTCACACCATTTATATCCCATGTGCTGCGTTTGAGTTAATAAATGACCATTGAATTTGAGAGTTGGTAAAAAAACTCGAGCCAATCATTGGTGGGGCGTTGAAATTACCACAATGAAAAATGCTGGAGAGAGAGCGGGCGTAATAAATTACAAGAATGCGTAAAAGCTTGCAACCCAGCGCTCTCGGTGTCCCCCTCGGCAACTTAAGTGCAGACAATTTTTTCGCTCAGGTAATATCGGCGTTTCCACTCAAGAGCTCGTGCTTTCTAAAGTAGCTTTGGAGTTTATTTCGTTTGATGGTTAGGGGATTGATGAGCGATCAGTAATTGGAAATTATAGATTAAGGTGTCTCGTCACGCAAACTCCCAATAAATTCACACCATCCAGTTTACGATGAACAAAAAGAAACTATAAAATGTTCTAAATGAAATATAATATCGACAAATTAAAACAAGTTTCCCGTCCCTAGAATCACGATTCGCTCGCAAGGGAAATTGCATTTTCCCTCTGAATGTGCACTCTAATGAAAAGCACTCAGAGCGGTGACACAATGTAGTCTAGTGCTTGGAAATTAACAGAGGTACACATTTACATAGAACCACCATCTTGAGTGGCTGTGCTTATTTACGGGCACAGCGTTTCGGTGTTGCCAGTTGGAATACATTTCCGTGTTTCGCGCCGCGCAAAATACAAAGAACCACAACGTTTTGTTAATTCTGCACGAGTTTATTGAAACATTGTGTTTGTTTTGCTGAAAAGGTAGTCGTGAATTTTGTTGCGTGCCAATTTAACATAACATTGCTTTACGATTTTGTGTTGTTTGTGGACATATATTGGGTATTACGTTGTAGTTTACTGTCGTTAATCCCGATTATTTTAATAATAAATTCACACTAGTAAGCATTACTAGTGTAGATCACTATAGAGGTAGTATCAGCATTGATATTCGATAAAAACTTTGTTTCTTCTGTTTACATGTAATTTTTTCAATTAATCTTCTTGAAATTTCGCTTACATTTATACTTAGTTGGAGGATTGTGAAAGGAGATAGGTAATTCCTGGGAAATAATGAAAACCGAAGGTAAACGCTGGCTTTTCTTGCGTGTGTTCAATAACTAACACACACTTCAAGACGGTAATAATTAATTCATTCTAAGTCCTTCATAAATACTTATTTGATTATCTTAATTTAGAAGGGTAGTCTTCAGGAAACCATTTTGATTATGGGGGCTAAAGAACAATGGACGTTTTGGAAAACAATAGAGATGTCGAAAACCGAAGGGGTGAGCACTAGTTGACCTAATTTGTAAATTGACTACGACGTTCGCAGTAATTTGAGGAATTCTTTGTTGCTTTCAATAAAACTTTTATACCCTATTTTTGCAAAGAACTTTAATGGGTTACAGATAATTGAAAAAGGTCTATAATAGGTACAAATCTGTTAATTTTATACACATCTGATTTTGATGTTGAAAGAAAATATAAATTCAAAATTTTCTACTACAACTATTAGAAGCTTTGATTATATAATGTCATTAAAAGCATGAATGCCTGAAAAGATTGATGACAGTTGGTGAAGTGAAAGAGGTATATAGGAATCGTAGTAATTGGCGTTCCATAGTCTTTGCCTACCCCCATGGGAGACAGGCGTGAAGTTATGCATGTTCAGTTAGTTTCGATACTAGAAATAAGATTTAAGACCCTGAAAGAAA